GGGTGAGCACAAGTCAGGTCAGCATTCAAGGCCCATGCAGATTTCACCCAGCAGCACACTCTGGGTTTGGAAGGGGCCATCTATGTTGCAACAGCTTTTGAGAGCCTGTGGCAGGGAAGCCTGGGCCCCCTGAGGCCCACACTTGGGAAGGGTGGTCTTTCCATTGATTTCCCAAAATGCCAAGCCGGCCCAATGCTGTCTCTCTCCCCCAAGTCTTTTCTCAGTGTGAAGCAGTTTCCCAAAGTGTGAGAAAACCCAGAGTACCAGTGGGGAGGACTCAGGGGTGCTCAGGTTGTAGGTGCTTGTGAACTGAACACCGGCACAGCGAGTCATCCCCTCTTCTCTTCCATTGTTCCGGGCATGATGGAACCTGGGTTAAGCACCAGTCTTTAGCAGGAGTGACCTTTGCCAGGAACAGTGGGTGAGCCTGTGGCAAACGTGGCTTAAGTCTTATCCAACTACAAATTACCAGCATTGCTTTGTTTTCATTCTATTTATATTTTTGTGATTACCGCCTCTTTCTGGCAAGGGGTCGGTGCTTTTCAACAAAGCCTGTAATAGGTTCCTTTTCAGATTAAGTAAAGTAAGTTACAGTTATGTAAAATAAAGTTTAGAAAACTTTATCTAAAATAAAGCTAGAGAACTATCATGCATGATGGTGCCTAGAGTTAAAAATGCTAAACTGTATACTTAAAATGCTACAAAAATGGCAGAAGAGGTTATGAGGAAACTTTTGGAAGAGACGGTTGTATTCATGATACTGACTAGTGATGATGATTTTATTCATGTATGTTCATCTCCAATTTCACCAAAATGCATACATGAAACATGTACAGCTTTTGTATAGCAATCATACCTCAATAAAATGAACTTTTAAAAAGCCGCAACTCTCAAGTCTAATCCTAAATTTGTGAACTTAGTGTCAATTACTTCAAAACCCAATCAGTTCTCTCTCCCTCTGGCTCTCTCTCTCAAAAACAAAAACACAAATCTTGGCATATACCACATTAAATCTCTTATTAAAAATTGAACAACAGTTCAGTAAAACAAAGACCGAATCAAATGTTTAAAAAAGTGAATAATATCTATGGTATGCTAGGTCAAAAGAAAACGGACAGTTGTTTGCCTCAGGTTAAAGAAACAAAAGTCTCTTGTCCAAACTCCTGCCTCTGCTCCCTGGCATGAAAACAGGGTAGCCGGGAGGAGGAGGCATGCTCCATTATCTGATGCCCTAGCCACCAATGTTCTGTTTACATCGTGCCTGACTGGAGAACGCCCTGCCTGAGGCCGCCAAGCCCCTGGCCAAGGTGCCCTTGGAAGCCAGAGTTACGGACAGACTTTTTTGGGGAAGGCATGCTTCTCCAGGGAAAGCCCTCTCACCCATTCTGCCAATCAGTTGCCCAAAAATCCACCCTGAGTATTAGTGCATTAGTTGGACTTTGGATCAGACACTTTTGAAAATTTGAAATGACCAACTTGCTCTCAGAATAACTGTGTACATATGTGATTAGTGACTGAAGAGACTATCTCTTCTCTGTCCATGTGCAAGGCAGAGTAGAAGCTAGTGCCAGAATTTACATGTTACTTCAGATTAGTGGGATACGTGAAATTCAGTCCTAATATCACAAAAATGAAAAAAAGTCTAACCCCATCTTTAAGATTTATTGATTATAATAAAACACAAAAGTACCTGCAAGTTGGTAAAATATATTTTATTTGTTCATACAAAGCAATAGTATGAATTACCAGAATTTCATTTTCCTAGAAACATCTCTCTCTGTGTAAAATTAATTTGTGTTATACATAGGACAAAATACTTGATTTAATTTTTTTGTACATATTGGCTATGCTAAGATCCAGGTTATAGAAGACACACTGCTAGAATCCGCACGGTATTTCAGATTACTGGGCTGAATGAAACTCAGTCATAAATTAATGTTACAAAAGTGAAAAAGATCTAACCACACCTTTAAGATTTATTTACCATCCTTCTTGATAAACTGGAAAAAGAAAAGTGACAATGGCTTTTGTGTCAGCATTTTACACATACATTATTAATTGTTTCTAGTTAATTGGAACTTCCTATTTACTTTTCTTATGGAAAAATCCTGGTGGGATCTGAAATTGTTTCTCAGAAGGTCTAGAATGTGTCTGTCGGTCAAGGAGGGAATCCCACGAAGAAGACAAGTTCTGGGCTTCCATCCTCCAATGAGGTATTTATTACGCAGTCACAAGACTAAATTACCTTCCTGGTATCACCTACCAAGTTAACCGACTACTGTACAAACACCTCAAAGACAGCATGGGAGAGATAGGAACAATCAAAAGCTCCGATATTTTATTGACCTATTTTTCTGTTTATAGTAAAACAGGAGTAAAGCACTCCAATGAGTATCAGAACTTTTCCTACAAATTGGAAGTGACCCAAAACATGTGCTAGGACAAAGTGCCAAAATATGAAATGGTGTTTGTCTTCTAGCAGCAAAAAAAAAAAAAGTGAAATTGGTGGCCTTGCAGATTGCTAGACCAGGAAGAAATCCAAGGCTTAACTTTATGTGTTGCCTAACTTCTCCAGGAGGAAGATGTACAGGCTCAGATTCTGGAATAATCCGTGTGTGCTGGGGTGTACACTTGGGGCAGATGCTGCGGCAGATCAGTCAGGAAGGACAAGCTACCAGACCGCTGGGCAGAGAAGCACAGGAAGTTTGATTTATTTGTCTTACATAGAAAAACTTGCTCCAGTGCACCAGAGCTAATTATCGACATCTGTTTGGATTCAAGGATTTGACCCAGAATAGAATCTTGACCCACTTCAGTGTTCATGACTAAATGAACCTCCTCCTATCTGAGACTTCCCTGTTTTGAGCTTTTAATTTTGTTAAGTCAGGGAATAAACAACTGAATCAAAAGTTACCCAGCTGGGAAAGCCAGCATGGACCGGAAGGGAAGGGGAAGTCGTGCCTGTTTTACTGCCACGTCGGCACCACTCCCCTTCTCTGGTGTTTCTGGATTCTACAGCCTGTGCCACTGCAGAACACCAGCAGCCAGTGCAGGGCCAGGCGGCACCAGATGAGGACAGCAACACTGACTGGCTCAGCAACGTTCAGCTGGTGCCACAAAGAGGTGTCCTCGGTTTTATTTCCAATGAGCCCTCTGATTGGAAAGATGCACAACCTGTTAGCATGCTGATGCATGCTTTGACACCCAACGAAGCCATGAGAGGGGAGAATCATGCTGTGATCACAGTGTTTCCCCAAGTGCGTGTTCTACACTACGTGGTGCAAGCAGTAAAAAAGCTGTGAATGGGATCTAGCACCCGAGGAACACAGGAAGCCCCTACACCCTTCCTCCTACACACACACCTACAGAAGGGCAGTCTTCCTGCTCAGTGTAAGCTCGTTAGTCCTGTCTGAGCCTGTGGGCAAATACAAGTCAGATGACCAACCAACCAGACATTATGAAAAGACCAGGGACGTTCTGACCAGTTTCTAAAGATGACTGTTTTTTTTTTCCCTCTTTCTTCACACTGGTGTTCTTCCTCTAAGCTGGCAAATTACAGAAGCAGCCTTTATAAGTATCACAACCCAACCATGGGACATTATCTTTTTTGATGAAAGTATAACTCAAATAGTACTTCTTTTATGGCAAAAGCATCCTGGTTTAAAGAATCAAAGATAAAGTGAATGTGTCATTATGTGATATTGTTATGTGGTTACCACCACTAGCTTGTCACGAGAAATGATCCCAGTTGCTCTCTTGACACAGAGATACAGGGACAGCATTTTGCAACAGCAGCAAAATTGCTGGCAAGCCTTCGTGCAGGCCCCGGCTAAAACAGTTCCACAAGTATCGCACCCCTGTGCTGACAGCCTTGCTGAGGCCAGCTTTCCCGGGCTATCTTGACAAGTACTACTCTGGACCTCACCATTGGCTGTTGGCTACAGAACACACGGTCAGCCTGAAATGAGCTGAGGATTCCAAAGAGGACTTCAAGCTATCAAGTAAAGGGGGCCAGAGAGATTCCCTTCTGTCAGGCCATGTACCCTTCTGGGGTCTTTTCTCCCCATCAAAGCTGTCAGCCTACTGGGATGTGCCCAACCTGGGCTGGCTTTGTACCCAGGACACTGACCAGATGGGATGCACGTGACGTCTTGGGCTTGACACCCAGCACCCTGGATTTGTGCAGGTAGTTCTGCCAGCCTAGGGGATTCTTTGGTGCATCAACGCAGAACTGTCTGCCTGGAGGGGGGAGTGTGGTGTGCTCTCATGCAAATTAGAAGAGACAGTCTATTTCTAAAGCAGCACCCAAGCATCTCACACATGTGACCTGGGAATGAGGGGGCTAACATTTGCATATACTTCAAGCTGGTTAATGAACCAAGGACTGAGGTGGAGAAGGAGGTGGGGCCATCCTTCAAAATCAAAAGCTGAAGTAAATGGACCCTGGCATGCAAACACTAAAGGATGTGGCTGTCCCTGCAAAGGCAGTGACCCCCTCTTGTGCTGAGGACTCGGGGAGAAACCTAGCATGGTGGTATCCGTGTCCTTGGAAATGGCATCGCACCCGTGAGGAAGCTGCGACACAAGCTCTGACCTTTGCAGCACGTCGAGGCAGCTCGGCGCTCACATGAGGTACACAGGCAGGGCGAGAAATGGGGCTGGACTAAGACACAGGAGATGGCGCGTGGACTCAGACGGCAATCGAAGGCTGAATACCCGTAACAACAAAAATCTCAAGTTGTGCTTTTCTTCTTTTTAAATATAATTATAATGGGTAAAGGGGAAAGTGGAAGCACCATCAGTTGTGAGGGAAAAAAAAACAAAATATTAGAGTTAAACACTTTGGAATGTTAACAGATTATGAAGCTAACTCTCTAAAGAGTGTGGCTAGGCAGCTTAGTGAATTAATTGCTTATGAATTAAAAATAAATTATTATAAAATAGATTTCTGTACATTTTACATACATATAATCTCTCTCAATAGATAAGCCAAGCGGAAAGCTGCACCTCGCAGTGCGTTCAGTCCCAGCCAAAGTCGTGCCCGGTCATCTGGTAGAACTTCAAGTTGAAGGGCCGGTAGAACTCCCGCAGTCTCTGCACCACCTCGCGGTCGATCTCGGGGTGCGTCCGGCCCTTGGTTTTGCCCAGGCAGTGCGGTTTGCTGCTGCCCTCGGCCTTCTTGAGGCAGGGGAAGCCCTTGGTCTTGTTGAAGTAGAAGTGCTTGTCGGTGATGATCCTCTTGAGGCCCAGGAAGTCCTGCACGCGGCCCAGCTC